GGGGTCAGTCTGAACCTGGAGAATTCTTGAGAACAGAAGTTTGTGAGAACTAGCATGAGTCTGAACAGAAAGGACCAGTTTCTGCCCTGAGTCAGCTTCTCACATTTTTAGCCTATACTACATTAGTTTGAAACAGCAAGTAAGAGACATTAGGCAGAAAACATCTTTAGATCTAAAGAACAGGATTAAGTCTGAAGTGAAAGGGGCACAATTTCCCTCCAGAGTTAGCTGTTAGCATATTTAAGCAGCCTAGGTTTTTAGAAATCATAGTATACATTATACAAACACTTACAGTATTTACACAAAAATCTGCCACACTCCTTCAGGAGGCAGAGGACCAAGAAACTTTGCTGTCAAAGCTTTTATGTGTATTATTACAGTTAGGAATGACAACCATTGTTGATGCCCACTGCACCAGGGACTGAGAATTATGTTGAAAAGCATTGTTATGGAGCCTCTCAGGCACAGCCTGAGACTGGCTTATCCTCTCGCTTTTTAAGAGAAGATTATTGTGGAGATCTCTTTTGATCTACACTCCTTTGCCCAGTGTCTGCCTTTTTTACATCTAGGGCAGATCTTTGGAGCTCTTTCGCTATCAGTCTTTTGCTGGTCACTCCCTGTTTTGCACTCCCGGGCAAAATGCCTGCTCTTACCACATTTAGAACACCCCTTACCTTTGTTTTTGTTTTTGTTTTTTGTTTTTTTTTTACAGAAAAACCCTTATTTTCACTATCAAAAGCAATTAAGTCAGGCGCGTCCTTGGGAGTATCCGGTATTTCCCTCAACTCTGACTGAGAACTACTTCTAAAAATCTCTTTAGCTTGGGCAACTGCCACTACTGGCTCATGTTCATCTGTCTTATCTATTAACTCTCTTATTAAATTCCAATAAGAAAAAGCAGTAACCGGGACCTTTCCCGGTCCAAACACTGTATAGAATTCTTGTAATGCATCACCCACTTTTTTTTTCATTTTTTTACATCTATGACCCCGTATTGAGGAAACCAAGGACAAATGTCCTTTACAAAATCAAAGAAATGAAATAAATCCTCAGTTTTAACCTTTACTCCTCTTGCCTGTAGCACTTCTCTTAACTGCATCACATACTTTTGATGCTGACTTAATTCTTGCCCCATGATTGATGACCAACTTACCTGTCGGCTCAGTCACAGCAGGCTACCGCGACGTCTCCGAACTATTTGAGCGGGTGCGCACCCCTTCTTTTTTTGTCGTGTCCCTCACGTTGTCTCCAGTATCCAAGCCACGTTGGGCGCCACTCTGCAGGGTCTGCAACGGGGTACCTGGATTGGGGAGTGGGGATGTGGATAAGGCAAGGGGCAAGAGAAATGGAGACAAGACAGTGTTCTGATCAAGTCTCATTTATTGAACGTCTGCACAAAGCTTTTATAAGGAAGCAGAAGGCAGAAGAAGCAGGTGGGTAAATTCCACAGTTAGACCACAAGACCGGATGTTTTCATAAGAAAATTAAAAAGGTCAAGGCAGAAAAACATGTTTTTCACAAAGCCATCTGGCTACTCTTTAAACTAGGTCAGAAGTTGAAGCTGTCAGCAGCTTGCTTCACAGACAATAGTTGCTGTTTCTGGGTAGGGGGCCCACGGCTCCCCACAAAGGGAAGCCAAGGCAGGAACCTGAGAGCAAGAGCTGAAGTAGTGACCATGGAATAACGTTGCATACTGGTTTGTTTCCCCTGTAGTTCTCAGCCAGCATTCTTATACAACTCAGGCCCACCTGCTCAGGGGTTGCAAGCCCACAGTGGGCTGGGCCCTCCTACATCAATTATCATCCTACATCAAGAAGCAGTTAAGAAAATGCCTCACAGACAAGTCCACAGGCAAATCTGATCGAAGCTAATTTTTCAATTGAGGTTCCTTCTCCCAGGTATATCAAGTTGACAACTGAAGCTAACTATGACACTGCCTCTATTGGGGGACAGGGAGAGTCTGTCATTGTACTCTGGAGCTCTTCCACTGTGAAGCAAGTGTCCCTGTGAGAAGGCAGCCTTAATGGAGTGAGCAGAACATCTTCCCAGGTCAGGCGTTCAGATTATAATGGGGAATCCAGTTGGTTAAAGACAGCAACTACACAAGAGTGGGTTAGCATCAGTAATGGGAGATCAGTAACGTGGAGGAACTGAACAAATGAAGATATCAAGAAGAAGGGGAACCAGGTTTTTATTGTCAGCAAAAAGGCAAGCAAAGAGGAAAAAATATAGAATGAATAAATTCTGAATCATATGGCATCAATTGAAACAGGAAGTGTTGGTGCAACATGATAGTTTTATACACTTGAAGTATGTGTGAACATATAGTCTACTAGGAAGCAAAGAGCATCAGAGTACTAATGAACATGTCTTACATATTGTGGCCAAATGCCATCCTCAAAAGAACCAAAACTTCTTGGAGAAATGGCTGGTATTAGTGGTGAAACAAAGTCTTCTATGGCACTAAAAAATCCTATTGGGTGTTGAAGCAAGCATGGGCAAAGAATGTTGAAATTGTCAAAAGGACACAAAAGCCAATTTGTAAAAAACTACCAATGACCAAATCTAAAACTATTCAAGTATCTAAATGAATAGTAATGGCTTCAATCTGTTGACTGTAATAAGAATCCATGAATCCATAATGATGAAGTAAATAAATTGAAAAGTTAATGAGAAGTAGGATATTTCTAAAGTTTACAAGTAGCTTCCCAGAAAGGGCTTAGTACCAAAGGGTTTGAAAATGTAACTTTACATGGGAAAATCTCACAGAAAACTTTATAATCAAGTAACTTAAGATAGCACCAACAGTGGAAGAAATGAAAATTTGGGACCACCAAATAAGACAATGAGAAGAAAATGGTGTCATCTACATTACATTTCTGTCAAATACGCATAATCTATAGCTAATCATGAAGAACCTTCTGTCAAACCAACAAATACAAAATAATTTGTATTGTTTACAAGTTTCAAGACCTTGAAAGTCAAGGAAAAAGTAAAGATGCTTTCCATTGAAGAAGTCTAAAACACCATTGTGCTAAATAAAAAAGAATTTCTGGTGAGTCTTTAACTGGAAGGACAAATGGATTACTGCAACAATCTGAATTATTTTTGAGGATTATATAGTAATAATGTGTTGATGTTAATTTCCTGGGTTTGATGGTTGTATTGGTGCTATACATATATAGAATACCCTATTTGTACTGGGACGTCAACTTCCAAATTGTTGAGGAAAACGAAGTTATTTGTACTATCCATTTAATTTTTTTGGTAACTTTAAGATCATTGCCAAATTTAAAAAAAGTAATAATTATATAACATTCGTGGCTTAAACCTCTTTTAGAGTTTCTCATTGCTCTTGGGGGAAAAAAATTTTTAAGTCCTTAAAGGGAACTGCAAGATTGGATGGTCGTGGGCCTGTCCACTGCAGTCTCATTTTGTTGACTCTTTTGGCTTGCCGCATTCTGCTGTGCTTTTTTGTTTCATGAAGTACTTTCCCTTTCTAATTACAGATTCGTTTGAATAACATCTGATCTGTCCCTCTATTGTCCTGTTTGGGGAGGGGGGAATCTTTGCTCACATTACACTCCAGGATGTAGCCCAGAGTAGAGAAAGTGATTTTAATAAATTGCTTTAAACTCTTGCCACATACAGCCTGTCTCTTCTCACTGCTCTCCCTTTCCCAAGCTTGTTCCCATGGTATCCTCTGGCCGGTCCTTGCCAAATCTGTCTCTTAAAAGCGTTAAGAAGCTTCCTCTTGACCTAAAAGATGAGGTCTGTCTTTACCAGGACAACAAAAACCTGAGTTCTGGCCTCTACTTAGTTCTTTTGTTTTCTATTTTGCTTTTGAATTTATTCTAACCATTTTATTGGTTCACAGTGGCATTATGATTAACACCACAGTTTCTGGAACCAGGTTGCTTAGGTGCGAATTTCAGTTTTCCTCGATTTTTATTTACCTCGGTTTCCCTTGACTTTGAAATGTGTATAACAATAACTACTATCTTGTAAGATTACTTGGAAGGCTGACAAAAAATTCACATTTAGTTCCTGGTACAGTAACAGCTGCCACATCAGGCTGCTTCTAATAGGGATGCCTTTTCATCATTCTAGTTCCTCTTATTTCCTACAATATATTGCTTTAGCCATGGGCCGTATAGTCATAAAAAAAAAACGTTTTAGCTTAACACTGGTTTATAACCAAAGACTCGTTGCCAGTTTCAATTTATTCCGTGTTATTAGCGTCATCGTTTTCACTTTCGGCGATTTGAAATGAAATAGGGTGAAAAAACACAGTTTCTGTAGCTAAATTATGCAGATGTGAAGGTGAGATGGGTATAGACAACGGTCTAGGTTCAAGCTAGCATGATTCAAAACCCAGGAAATCCTGTGGAATGCTCAAACGTTTGCGGATTAAAAATGTATTTTTGCTGGGTGTGGTGGCACACGCCTTTAATCCCAGCACTTGGGAGGCAGAGGCAGGCGGATCTCTGTGAGTTCATGGGCCGCCCGTTCTACACAATGAGTTCCAGGACAGCTGGGGCTACAGGGAGACCCTGTCTCAAAAAGACAGAAAAAAAAAAAAAAGTATTTTTCCTTGCAAGTTTTCTACTGTCTCTTCAGTCCTCTGCGATCAGGGTCAATTCAGGGACGCTCTCTATTTTCTGCCATATCTGCCCTTTCGGCGTTCCCACCCTTTATTTAACCAAATCCTCCAGAGGAAAAGCACGCCGGGTCGCTCCAACCTGGGTTTCCCCGTCGCCCTGGCAACGGGACCGGAAGAGGCGGGTTCTGCGCCCTTGAATCCGCTTGCAGCAGGCGCAGGTCACTGTGGAGCTGACCGACCGAGTTCCTTCGTCGCCTATCTCTGTTCCGGGTGCGAACCGGAGCCGGAGCCGGAGCCAGAGCCGGATCCCGCACTGAAGGCCACGTCAACCTAAACCGTCACCGCCCGCTCCACCCCGCGGGCCACTGTCCCGCCGGAGTGCCCCAACGCCTTTCCCACAATGCCCCGCGCAGGCCCCGCCCCGCGGGCCGCGGACCCGAGAGGCGGAGGAGCAGCCGCGCGCTTGCTACCGCTCGCGCGTCCTCCGGGTCCCGAGCTCCGCGGCCGGCGCTCACGGTCCGGGCTCAGCGGGCAGAGGTCTCGGCGAGGACTGAGGATGGGGCTGTAGCTGCAGGGACGCCAAGGTGGGCGTGGGCCGGGCTCCCCTCCTGGCCGGGTCTTCGCGGGGGGAGGGCGGAGGCCGCATCCTTCCTCTGCGCTGCCTCCCATTGTGCCTGGTACCTCGCTGCCCTCTCCACCTCTCTGTCTCTGCGCTCGCTCCTGTTCCGCTCGCTGGAGCCACTCTTACGCAGGCTTCCTGAGTCGAACCTGTAACCTCGGACGTATGCTTGAGCGTCCTGTTACCCCAGTCTCCATCTTTCCCCTCTTTTCCCATCCGGCTTTGGAATGATGGCAGCTTCAGGCCAGGGCATTGCGTTCACCTGCGCCTCCACCTGGCCCTGGGCAATTTGTCCAGTCACCCCCACACTGGCTGAGAACCACCCTGAGGCGAAGAACACCTTAACCCAAAGTCTTGGTTGAGACCTGTTCTTCATTTGCTGTTTTACCTGAAGGTTGTTCTCACTCAGGTGTCTTATTTTCTACGCAATATATTTTACAAAGGTATATTTTTTTGTGGGAAGAAAAGGAGGGATTAGAAATTAACAGGTAAGGAGGAGTTTTTAGAAATAGATATTTGGATTTAGATGAAATTTGAAATAGAGGATGCTAGGAAAGTTAGAATTTCAAAGCATTTTGAGAACTTAAATATGACAATACAGATTGTGGTGAGGTGAAGTCCTATTTATCCTTCACAGGAGAGTGTATCTGATGCCCTTCATTCTGTGTCTTGTTCTATTTTTTTGTTTAGAACAAACATACGCTCTGCAATGAAATTACACTAATTTGCAATTATATATTTTTATAGTTTTTATTTTCAATGTAAACACTTTAGAAAACTCAGGAGGGATATGTCCTGCCTTGTAAATTGCTTATTGTAACAGTAACCTTTCTGGTTATGTAAAATGTGCAAAACCTTCTGAAGAGCACTAGTCTGCCTTCTAATTTCCACAGGGGATATTCTTTACAAATGATACCTGATTTTAAAAAAAGACTGCAGCTTTAGGGGTAAAGAAATATATAAAGAAGAAGAGATAGAAAAGGACAGCATGCTGGGAGAGGAAGAAAATGCTGCTTTTTCTTACCCTGGTGATGCTGATCAGAGCCAAAATTGCAGAGTGTGTGTGTGTGTGTGTGTGTCTGTGTCTGTGTCTGTGTGTGTCTGTGTCTGTGTCTGTGTCTGTGTCTGTGTCTGTGTCTGTCTCTAAGGTGATTTCACAGACTCCCTACCTGAACATGGAAACCAGAGAGGTTCAAATAGTCTGGGCTTTCACACTGACTTGCCCTTTAATTGAGGTTGTATTGCTCACCATGTTACTTGGCAAATTATGTTACAGCAGTTTATTTTGAAAACTATTTTAATTGCCTGGTTTACTCTCTTTAGGTTAACATTTCTGGACTCTGTTCTGTGATGCTTGATTCACCTTTGAAGTAATGTGGACAGAAGTTCTCAGATTTGGATATTACATCAGCTGGACCTAGCACTGTATATTAATGTTCACTTAAATCAGGACTTGCATAAGAG